GGGATGGGGGCAGTAGTTGAACTTGACGATAGTTTGAGAATTCTTGGCTCCAATTTTCAGATGAAACAAATGAGACACAGAGAAGCAACATACTTGTCCAAGAGATTACCTGCATGGCAAGTGGAATCCATCTGATGCCACTTTGTTATAATGCCTTATTCTATAGCACCTAAAATAATGTGGTGAGGTTTATTGGTCTCTAAGCAAAATACTTGGCAAACTAAACCACGTGGTTTAGCTATTTTTGTCTGCATGCACAAGGTTTTATTAAAACTCTATCACAGTTATTTGAGCATATACTTTCTTTTTTATGCCTTCCCACTGCAAAACCAGAGGTGAGTTGAGACTTCATTGAACATAAAGACAGATTAATAGTCTGACCCTCTAAAGAAAAGATTTGACACTCTTTTTTCTTAGACTATTTTTGCCTATGTATGTTGGGGGGTAAGGGTAAGCTCCTTTAACAAAAGCCTGCATTTTAGTAATATAGTAATTTTTTAAGTTTATTTCTGAACCACATAAAAGTCAGTGTTCTGTGCAGTGGTAAAGGTAGGTTAAGGACTCTGCTTTAAGGATTCAGGCTGATCATTGCTTTATGGTCACCCTGGCAGAGGCATTCAGACAAAGGAAAATACAAAAATATACAGGACATTTTTATAGGCTAGATATGGAAGGGACATACCTCCACCCAACCTCAAGCACACTGCTATACCTAAATGAATAGAATATTGAAAAGTGCAATCTACTAACATGACCAAGAATAAAGAAAAACTTTAAGTGATGTTATAGCCTCCATCATCATCCATAACTTTCCAAATCAGTTTTACACTAGAAAAAAAGTTCCTAAGTTTAACTTCCCAGGCATTTTTTAAATGGAGTCCTTGCCTTTTTGAGATGCTGACTGAAATACATGTAAGTAAAATTATGTCATGGATTTACTTCATAAACATGAGAGGATTAAAGTAAGTGAGGACATACATAAGACAAGAATGGCCTTGAGTTTGGGTGAAGCTAGTTTCAGGTGGTAAAGAGGCATTAAGCTATCCTCTTTATATTACTGTATCACTGTCATCCTGTTGTTCATCGATTTCCTCAAGCAGGCACCAGTAACGTCTCCTTTGTCCTAGCCCTGAGATTTTAGAAAGTGCCACATTCCAGGCTCTTTCAGGGTCAGGAGAATGAGACCCATCATTGTTACTGGTTTTTGGCATACTGAATACGCCACGTATTTCAATTGCTAATTGAAAACCCTCTTTATACATTGAGATTAAAAACACAACATCAAAGTCCCTCCCTTTTCTGTCATCCCCCGCATCCTTCAAAAAATTATGAAAGGGAAAAGATGTTGCATGTTCTGTACACAAGTTATAAATTCATTTTAAAATTTATTAAAAAGATGCTAGATTTGAACAATGAAGTTCTTTCCAGTCCCAGTGTTACTAGAAAATATTATGCTGTAAACATTTTGGAAACCAAAAGAAAGAAAACTAGATATAAGGGATGAAGGATATGGAAGAGGGGGATAGATTTGGTCTGAAATGTTTTTTAATTTTATTTTATAATGTTGTCCACAATAATTTATTACATTCAATATTCCAACACTTAATACCACCACCATAACACCTTCCCACCACCATTATTTTGAATTTTCCCACCAACCACCCAAGCCTGTCCCAAAAGCTGGTCTTTAATAATTAATTTTGTATGGCTTGTTATGAACAATGTGTTAACAGTGATCCAAAAAAGTTTCCCCAGAAGAAAACGTGTGAAGATTGTTGTATCTCACCCTAGAGCCATTAAGCCCTTGTATAAGAGATGGCCAACATGTTGTTACATGTTGAGCCTTGTGTGCTAATATTTATTTATTTTTGAAATGTTTTACCGCAAAGACCATCCACATCTGGTGATACACAGAAACATTCTACTAGGGTATAGTAAAAATGAATCACAAAGATGACATTGCAAGACTGTTGAGGGAGGAGGCAGGATTCTTAAAACTTTTAGAGTTCCTGGTATGGTTTCATAAGTGCTTACAACTTTGTTTAGGATACTACATTTGTGATTTTTCTTTTAGGAAAAGATTAAGGCAGTTGATTTCTAACTCTTCAAAACCACAATACTGCTATCACCTTTTGTGACTATTTTAGTTGCAAAGCAAGGGCATTTATCAGTATTAGCTGTGTGTGCTTGTGATTACATAAACTCACCTGGAATTTGGATCTCACAGCGTGAAAGGATTTTAATAGGATTCATTCATACATTTGTTCACCCTTTTATACAGACTTCAATCCCCAAAATTCAATTTACAATTTTACAACATTTTACCAAGACTTTGATCTTCAGATCAGACTTCGCAAATTTACAAGAGTTTCACCCACTGCAAGGATTTCTGTCCAGTTTTTTTTTTCCTTTCCTTAAGACTCCAAAATGTTCATTTTAGATTAGAGGTGAGGCAGTTGAAGTTCACATATGTAGACGCTTGTGAGGAAAACGCAGGACTCAACAGCCACTGAATTCTAATTTAGAACAGCTCGCCTAGGGCTAAAGGAAAGTCATTTGTCCCTGTGTACCCACATTACAATCTGGCACTATTGGGGGGGGGGGAGGGTCGAGTCCTTTCTAAACTCTCTCTATAGTTCAAGTATTCTAGTTTGCCATCATAGTTTTTATATTTTATCCATGTGCTCCTTCTAAGCCCTTCCCTCCCTTTCTATTCTAATTAGAAAGCACACAGAAGATCCCTCTGGGATTCGAAAGCTGCAGGGATCCTCCAACCCCCCCCCCCCCACTTTGATCTCCCATCTGAACATCTATTGTTTTAAACTCTCTCCCAGCGCTTCAATTAACAATTATTAGCATGTAAGAAAGTCAAGATTGTTTTGAGATGTCAGAAAGGACCCAAACCAAGTACTCCTTCGAAATCTCTCCTCTTCCTTGTGTCCCCTACTAAAAGGAAAAAGAAATATTATCATGTGTGCTCTATAAACAGCTGCCAATTGGTCAGTAAGATGCTAGAACTGGATAGAACTTTAAAGATGCTCACGGAATGTTCAGAGCTGCAACTAGCCCTTGCTTCTGACAAAAAGTTCTCTGCGCACCCTACCTTAACCACCAATTATTCACGCTCTGCAAAATGCCACGGTGACTCGAGGAACTTTCGGAATGATGCAAGTGTTTCTGATAAGCCAGGGCTGAGATGCCTCGCATCAAGATGTGAACTTGAAAACGAGCTGAGTTCAGAATCTTCTGTTGGTGGGAAGGGAGAGGGCGGAAAGGGAGGTATTCCGAAGGGATTTATTTCTTTTTCAGTCACCCAGGGAGTATCTGACGGATCGATCTCGGGAGCCATGGGGTCTGGGATGAAAAAAGGGCTTGGAAATGTGTGGAGTGGGAGCCTGCGCTCCTCTACACGTCTACTAAGGAAGGCTCGGCAGAAGCGGAGGGAAGGGCTGGGCGGGTTCGGGGGAGGAGGGAAGGAGGGCAGCGGCCGGGAGGCGGGGAAAGAGCCGTATAAAAGGTCCCAACCGCTCAGCGCGACCATCACTTCAAGCCCTAGGGGAAGACTGGGCTTGCCAGGACCCGGGAAAGAAGAAAACGCTTGGTGCCACTCCGCTGATCTAAGCCTACCATCGGACCTAGCTCGCTTTTGCAGCCGAGGAGAGGACTCCGAGCCCTGTGCTCACACCCCCTTAGCCGTTCCGCTAGCCAGCAGCCCCCCGCGAGGCATGAGAGGCGCGCCGAAGCCCGGGACTGCAGCGCGGTCATGAGGCAGTGGCCCCGGAGCACCGGACGCGCAACCTCAACCCCCAGGTCCCCTCCGGGCGCCGCGCCTCCGGGATGAGTCCCCAGCCCCGCGGTCGCGCCCGTTGAGATTTCCATCCACTGCGTCCTGCGCTCCCCAGCAGCCGGCCCCGCTGCGACACCTGCGCCTGCGGACGGCCCGGAAGGACGCCCCGCGAAGCCCACTCGCCCGACGCTGCAGGCTCGAGGGGCGCCGCGCGAGCACGAGCCGCGGGGTGCAGGGAACCCCAGCAAGTGTCCGAGCCCATCCGGAGCGACGCGTCGCGGTCTCTCGCATGCACACGCACGTCTGCTCCGGGCAGGGGCGCACAGTCGCAGGCCCCCGGCTGGCCCGACGCCCCCCTTCGTTCTTCATCACCCCAATCCCAACTCCACTGGGTCAATAAAAGTTTCTAAACTCGCCCCGGCACCCCACCCGCCCGCCGCCACCCCACGTCTCGGGGCGCCCCCCGGCAGCGGCGGGGCGCGCTTCGCACCTCCCGGACGACCGACGCGGACTCCCGAGGGGCGCTCGGGTCCCCTCCCGAGGCCGACAGCCCCCCCCACCCCCACCCCGGCCCTCGGCGCCCCCAGGATCGGCGGCTGGGCGGCGCGGGGAGGAGGGGAGGTGGCTCGTCGGGTGAGTGGCTCCGGGCGGCAAGGGCGGGGGAGCCGAGCGTGGAGGTAACTCCGGGCCGCCACTGAAGCCCTCCTCCTCCTCCCTCTCCTCCTCCTCCTCCTCCTCCTCCTTCTCCTCCTCCTCCTCCTCCTCCCCGCGCTCCTCTGGCGGCAGCTCCCGCTCCAGCTGCGGCGCCGCGGCCACATCTGGGGCGCCCATGTGCGCTCGGGGGCTCGGCTGCGCCCGCCCCGCCGCCGTCCCCGCCGCCCCCCGCCCGCAGGGTGGTCCCCGGCCCGGCTCGGGGGCCCAGCCGCCCCCCGTCCCCGCCGCCGCCGTCGCCGGGGCGCGCCGGGGTGTGCTCGGCCGCCGGCTTGGACGTCCCCGGCCCCGCCGTGGCTCCGCCGTGGTGCGGCAGCAGCGGCGGCGGCGGTGGCGGTGGCGGTGGCGGCGGCGGCTCCCGCTCCCCCGGCCCGGCGCGTGCGGCCGAGCCCAGCGCCAGCCCCGCGGGCCCGGGGAGCGGGGCCCCGACCGGGGCCGAGGTGGGAGCCGCGCCGCCGGGCTCCCGGGCTCCGACTCCTCCTCCCCCGGCGCCGCCGCTGCCGCCGCCGCCGCCGCCGCCGCCGCCCGCCGCTCCGGGTCCTAAAGCCGCGCGCCTCAAGAGGATGGTGCGCCTGGCCGCCGAGCTGCTGCTGCTGCTGGGGCTGCTGCTGCTCACGCTGCACATCACCGTGCTGCGCGGCTCGGGAGCCGCCGACGGGCCCGGCGCGGGCAACGCCAACGCCAGCCAGACGCCGCTGCAGGTGAGTGAGTGCGCCGGAGCCCCGGGGGACGGGGGCCGAGCCTCGGGCACGTGGAGGGCGAGTCCCCGCCCCGCGTCTGTGGGGGGCTGCAGTTTCCAGGGTGACTGTCGTGGGAGGTTGCAGGGCGGGTTCCGGCTTCGAGATCTGCCGGACGCGAGCCCCTCCAGGTCTGTCACCAGCAGTTGCGTGCGTGCGTGCGTGCGTGCGTGCGTGTGTGTGTGTGTGTGTGTGTGTGTGTGTGTGTGTGTGTGTGTGCCGGACGCGAGCCCCTCCAGATCTGTCACTAGCAGTGTGTGTGTGTGTGTGTGTGTGTGTGTGTGTGTGTGTGTGTGCGCGCGCGCGCGCGCGCGCGCGTCTTGCTTGGGGCTAGGAGGAGGCAAAGAAGCCTTTAAACTAGAGAATAGAGGTAAACTGGAGTTTAGTGGGAAAAGAACTCACTTAACTCTGCCCCTGCAGAAAACTGCCCAAGATTGGGAGAGAACTGCAAGAGGAGGGTCACAATCTCCCTACGCTTTCCAATCGGTGACCCCTTGCACCCAGCACGCCCCCCTCCGCCCCGCCCCACGCCTTTCTGCAAAGGGAGGAGTCCAGGCACCTGTTCCCCTTGGGTGTGGGGCTACCTGGGCTCAGAAACTCACAGCACTCTTCTTCTGTCTGTCGCCTGAAGAAATGGGATTCCGGTGCACCCATTTTAGGTCTTAGGCAGGGAAGGGTGTAGTGGGTGTCCCGCATGAGTTGACTTCTGGTTTGGGGAAGGGAGGTCTGTTCAGGTAGGGATTTCATTCCTCTGTTCAAGAAAGTCTTTTTCCTTTCCCTGGTGTCTAGGGATTTGACAACTGTCAAACTGGAGCTTGGGTTGAATTCAGCAGGTTTCCAGGAAGTAGCAGAAATTGTCTCCCTTCTAAAAATCTCCTCCTCAAACCAGTGCCTAGAAAAACTGCGCTGCACTGGGGAGACCCGGGAAACAAGCATGATTCATTGTGCCCCAATCTTGACAATCTTTGCCGCTGCGCAATCATGTTTCCAAATCTCTATATAACTGGGCAAGGGGCCGATGGCTTTACTACTAATGAGGCCAATTCACTTAAACATTTCCGTGGTGGTTACTCTGGCTGGTGTTTTAAGCACTTCACAGTATTTAACTGATTTAATGGATATACTGTAGTTAACCTCCTGCTTTTACAGATGCAAAAAAAGTGATGTTTAATCGAGTGCTGGACCTCAGTCTTGCTAGAGGCCATACATTCCAAAATCTTGATTAATTACACCAAATCTTCTTTCTGCCAGGGTACCTCTGGTCATAGACACAAAACCAGGTATGGAAAAGTATGCACGCAGAGGCAAGCACTCTCAAATTGTGACATTTCAGTAATAGCCTGCTTCGGTGTGGGCTTCTTATCTGTAGGTATAGTGAGACTGACTCAGAACTCCTGTGGGGCAACTGAACATACTGCTGTTCTGCAGACTGATACAACAGCCGGCCTGACATTGTAGGATTGATTCCTAATATCTTTAAGGTTCTGGAAGTCATATTTTTTTTTACACGATGCTCTCTTTCCTCATGGACTCATGAAAGGCCATAAAAAAATGATGTTCTATGGAAAAGTAAATTTGGCAGGTTTCTTTATGAGGTGTTTGCTATCATTAGAATAACCTGGGGTTGGCCTTTTCTGCCTGAACAGTAAGGTAATGAGAGAAACAGCCGGTACAAGTGGCAACAGCAAAAAAGGAAGATTAGATTCTCAAAAGAGCCTTTGGCTGAAGAACTGCCCCAAGAGGGTAGAAGAAATAAGGGGTTTAGAAAGACTAAAGCTACTCTGAATATCTTGGGTCACAAATAGTTGCTAATCCACAAGCTTCGGTTTATCTTATAATGCCTGTTTGCCCACTTCCTTTTCTTCGCCAAGGAGAATGATGAGTTAAACAGATTAGTCCGTAATTTTACTTTTAAAAATAATTTGTTATTATAAAAGTTTTATATTCTTCCTGGCTAAAGTTATTTCTTTGGCCTTCTGGCTCTACAGAGACATTATGATTCAAATGAAGAGAGTATGTCTTGCCAAGTACCGAGGTCTGCAAAAGACATTTATTTGGTTTCTCTTATTTTCAGACCCCAGAATGTGAATTTACCAGTAGCAGGTGTATTAAAAACAGAACTACAACACTGTATCTTTTCTATTTCCTGGACATTTATAAGCCCTCTTTAACTCCATCTGAAATTATTGGCTGTGATATATTAAGTTGCTAAAATCATTCAGAATGGTTACTGTGAATTCAGAAAGGTTACTCTTCATATTAAATTATTACATAAATTAATCTTCATATTACTTTTTTATTGTTACTCAGCTTAAAATGTTCAAAAATACAAGGTTAAAATTTGAAAATTTTTATTTCCCAGATTTTCTAAGTTGGTGATAACTTAAGAGAGATACGACTTTATATACAATATTGTGATTTTGACATATTAAGGGCACCCAATAAAATAGCACAGATGACAACAATATTATAACAAAGATTTGTCAGATGCCTTTTCTGTAACAGGCACTGTTGTTAGCACTTTATATACAAATTTAATTTCTACTTATATATAAACTTTGCAAGTCCATAAAAGTCCCTTTAATTAAGCATTATTATTATTATTATCATTACTTTAATTGAACAACTGAAATTGGAAGCTGCTTGTATAACTTAAAGTATTTACTTACTTTATAGTATAAAAATCTTCAAAAATATGTATTTTAAGCTCTTGGTAGCTTAAATACTGTTTAAGTTAGCTAAAAAAAAAGCTGGCTACAAAATACAGAAAGATTGAATAATTCATATTTCCAAGTCATAATGGTCTTACGTCAAATAAGAATGTGTGTATTTACAGGACTGGAGCCATAGCACAGTGGGTAGGGTGTTTGCCTTGCACACTGAGGACCCAGGTTCGATTCCTCTGCCCTCTCGGAAAGCCCAGCAAGCTACCGAGAGTATCTGCCCACTTGTTACCTGTGACGTATTCCATATGCCAAAAACAGTAACTACAAGTCTCACAATGGAGATAGGTTTCATTGACTTTGTGACCACTGTGGGCATGATATTATGAGGGGTCAATAAAATTCTTGGAGAGACCTGAGAGACAATAGAGTGAGTAAGGAGCGTGCCTTGCATGCATCCGACCCAGGTTCAGTCCCTGATATGTCATATGGTTCCCTGAGCACTACCAGAAGTGATTCCTGGATGCAGAACTTGAAGTAACCCCTGAGCATTGCTGGGTGTGGGCATTTCTGGGTGTGGCCTGAAAATAAATAAATGAAGAATATAAAATTTAATTCTTCAAGTGTAAAATTTGTTATCTGGCTCATGAAAATAGTGATATCAGTTTTTGCACTATTTCACTATTTTTTTAAGTTGTACAATTATGTACATCTGCCACGTAAAAATACCTGGAATTATCAAGTATTTTTTTGCTTTTTAATGAAATATCAGTAAAATAAGTTTATCTTATGTGGAGCAAATACTCATATTCTTTCTTATGATTTTTAACAATAACAAATGTATTAATAATTATTATTGTACATATTTAAATGAAAGCAATTGGAATATACCATCCCCAAACATATAGCCCATAGACAATAATATATTTTATTATTAATCTTTTATTTGAAATTCAAATGAATGCCTTTCTACTAAATTTCAATTTGATTTAAAACCATAAATTTCTACAGATCAATACCAGAGCTAACACTTATTATGGTAGTGAGAATTAGGCAAGCTTTCTAAAATTCCAAACTGATTACTTTTATAATAACATTAAATCAAACCAAACTCTGAAATGAAATTAGATGTCTTTGTTCTCTGTCTTCTAATAGCCATCCTTATGAGTTCTTTTCAGCTTTTATTCCTTTATTTGCCCTCAGTAAAACAGCTTACTTTCTTGTACTTACTGCTTCAAGCAACAACTTTGTTCATTAACAAAACAATTTTGTTCATTCACAAAAGGTGTTAATCTTTGTATTGTCAATAAATACTTTTTTTTAATTGTTAGTCTTTGTGCTAAGGAATATGACCCAATAGGATAATTAGCAGTTATACCCTTTTCACAGATGAGGAAACTGAGGTCTGAAAAGACTGGTGTAACATTACCTAAGACCATCTTGCTGCGGTGTGGCAAAGCCAAGACCGCAATTGGTCTTGGAACCCAATTTCTTATTCCTTTCCAGGTTTTCTTCTGTTTGACACAAGTCAGTAGCTTTGATTCAACAAGTTTCCGATGTTGTGATTTGTCTGGCCCTTTTGGATTTTGGTAACTGTTCTAGTTAGCTATTGCTACATACCTAACCACTGTAAAGCACAGTGGCTTAAAACCCTCACCATTTGGTCATCTGCTCTTAAGTTTATGTGTCAGAAACTCACTCTAGTTCATCTGGGTGGTTCTTATGCTGATTTTTCACAAGATTACTTCTGTGACTACAGCCATTTCTATTGGTTTGCATAGGCTAGAAGTCACTTAGGCTCTTTTTACATAATCTTTCACCATGAATGAGCGTATTATGGAGGTCAACAACCTATACTCAAAGTGCAAAGTTGCCAAAAGCCACCTAGCCGGGGATGGCCAGGATTATCATAACTCTGTCTTTGCAAAATCGCTACCATATTGATCGTTTTTCTTTGTTTTATGCTTTTGAAATGTTTGGACCAATCTACACTTGTCTTTCAACATTATTTCTGCTGCTTTTGGCCATGCAGAAACTTTCCATTTTAAGTCTAATCAACTTTGAATCTCTTCCCTTCTGACTTTTGGTTTCCTTTACTCAAGTAAAGTAAATCTTTATTTTGTTCTAAGAATTTTATTGTTTATTTTCTGTGTTGAACTACAATCTTTGTTTAAGTTATTTGTGGGTTTAAGGTTTTCAGATAAAATGTAACTTTGTTTTTGTCCAAGTGAATAGCCATTTGACCTATCATATTTATTTAGTTTTCCATTCTACATTTACTGATGCAAAATGCCACTTTCA